GCGCTGATCTGCTGTGCCGCACCTGCCTGCGCCCGCCTGTAACGCTCCACTTTTAATAGACGAAATTCAGAATAAATTTTTCAAAATTTATTTCATTACTAATTGAGGCGTTACTCATTTTCAAAAGTGATTTCCAAGAATCACCATCAATCACAATTCTCAATCATCAATCATCATTCCTCCTTTAAACAATCATAAATCCTCAAAACGAAATAAGGAGAATCACTTTAACAATAATTCAAATCTAAATAATCCAATATCCATTGTTCCAAAACACAATAATATCATAAGACAATTCAATAGGCGGAAGCAACATTCAATTATAGACCACCACTCGCCTCCCTCTGTCGTGCCCGCAATACTAACCTGCTTCAGTGAAGAGCAGGTGGGGATGAGCACAAGAGGAACATTAGTGCTCACCACTATGCAGTAAAAGTTATTTACAATAATAAAACAGTAATCAATAATCAAAAGGTATGGTCTCAGCATGTATTACGTAATTAAATAGTTATCCCAACCTCCTATCCCAAGTTCGTTCTCATGTGCACCCCTATATCAATAGACTACTGCCGACTATATATCGAAAGCCACGGCCCTCGGCCTTCTGGTCTTACAACGAGTGTCCAGCCAGTAGGAGTCTCCCCCGAAGGCCCGGTCTTGCCATCGGACTTACATCGGGGTACTTATCGCTGACCGAGCAAAGCCCTGGTCTCAAGCGACGTGTCCTTCGCAAGGACGTAAAAGGAGATTACCCCATCGGGGTCGTTCTATAGTTACGGGGATAACCATTTGACGGGCGATACAGCTCACATCGAAGGCTACATGTTCAACATGCATACTTTGATTATACCAAGTAAAATAATAATAACAGTAATAACATTTACAACATAGCCAATTTTTCAAAACCCACCTGGAATCGGACGATAAAGCAAAATAACCAAAAAGTCGTAGGTGGTCGAAATACCGCTCGTAAGACACCTACATAAGTCAAGACAATCCCATAAGCAACTATCTCGACTCTATACAGATAACGAGAATTATACTTAGTCGAATCACATCGACTAAGAAACTCGTGGAAGTTGTGGAGTTGGAACATTAGGACGACTCCTAGACTCGACCAACCAATTAATAAATCATATAAGGGCATGTAATAAAGGTTTGACACAAAAACAAGGTCATCAGGTCAAGGACTTGCCATTAAAGCCAAAACCCGTCAAAAGAACTAGTTTTAAATTTATATGAATATAGCTATAAGGAGATAGGCTTGGACAACTCAATCCAAATTTTTACAGCACATAAAGAACTGAAAATTAAACATTTTCACCAAAGGAAAGCCCCTAAACATGATCCTAACACATTTAAATAAATTGAGCAAAATCTGGACAAAATTCAAATTAATTCATTTAAAATAGCTAGATTCAGAATTTAATTTTGAAATTTATACAGTCACAAGATATCATTAATAACAGCAACATATCCAAAAAGTAGCCAAATCGGACAGGAACTCGATTTTATATGAATTTATTACGAAACAGCCCAGAAACGATTTTCGAGTTTTGACAAGGCTACAAGACATATAAAAATCTCAAATTTTAACTACATGCAATAAAACAACAATGTGACAACATATCCAAAAATCAGAAATTTTGGAACAATACATGAATTATAGTTATTTTAGCAAAAACGGATTGCAACACGATTTTCAAAAATTCATAACATACATTATACACAACGAAACGACACAAGGCCAAAGCCATTGCATCAAGGACATTCCTAAGTCCAATAATCCATAGTCCTTCCACGGGAAATATCACATTAGCCTCAGCTCGACAATTTTTCAAAGTGACGGCAATCACTTTGATATCCAAATGACATA